CTTATGGTTTGGTTTGTTTTGTTTTACAGCATATCAACCTCAATGGGTTATTTAATGCCAACAACATTTTTATTGCTGGTAATATTTTTGTTCAAAAATGTATTTCTGGTAATATTTTTTTTTTCAAAAATGTATTGCTGGTGGTAATAATTTTTTCTTCAAAAATTCATTGTTGGTAATAATTTTTTGCAAGAATGTATTGTTGGTATTAAAACCTATTTTTACACTTTCATAGCATTTTGACCCCAGTTTGGCGGTTAACTATTTGCCTATAGCTGGGACCCTAACAGATGCTACCACCCCATGTCAGGGTGGACCTGGGAACACCAGCAATTAAGAAGTGGTTCCATGCTCCTCAAACCTTCATGATCAGAGGCCTTGCTGTTGGATATAGTTTATCGTCTATGTAAACAAAAACCCTGATGCAGTATTTTATCATCTGGCCATGATTGTGGCCCTTAATAGCATAACATTTAAATGTAGAAAGCAAAATAGGAATGATTTGCTTCTACTGGAGTATGTATCAAGAACTGAATTTATAGTTGGTTAATATAATATGGCGGGGAAATTTGAAATTATTTCGATTAATGATGTGGTGAGATGAACCTGAAATTATGTTGGCCCAACTTTCAAAGAATCTAGAATCGCAAAGAAAAGAATATGGTTTTAAATATTAAAAATATTAAACTATTTTGTGTTTTTAAAACAGAAATAATACAAAAGTTAAATATTAAAAAAATCTGAAATTTAAAACCTGCCCAGAATTTGATGTGAGCTCTCATCTGACTTTATAATTCTAAATTTTCTGAAGGCTGATTGTACATAGCCTTTTCTTTGTTTTGCTTAAAAAGTAGCATAGTACATGTAAAAATGACCAGAATATGGATTGATACTTTTGGCTAGGATCAATGTGTCACTTCCTGATCAGAATGTAGTATTTCTACAATATCACTTTTTAATATAAATATAAATGAGAAGCTTCTGGAATTTTCAGCCTCACTAAGAAACTCTCCCTCACAAAAATTCTGGTGTTTGATGAGATTTTGGGAAGTCGACCAGTCTTGGAATTTGTCAACACACAGCAATGTTATTTGTGATGTGATGCCAGGCCAGAATATGGAGCTTTCTGTTTTGGCTGTCATTACAGTGACAACTTGGTGAGCAGAGTGTAGTGCATCAAGAATTTCCTGTCTGAGAGAGGCCAGGATAAGTATCCTGTCCTTATATAGGAGTACTCCATCAACAACTGACAGGTGCTCACGAAGTGGGAAGTATTGTTTGATTTGTTAGGGTAGGTCTCACTTGTGATCTGAGAAACCATTTTCTATGATACTGAGAAGTGCTTCCATTATCGGATTGTTTGAGATGACCTCATGAACACTCTCCCAGGTGACAGATTGGAGGGAACATGATGAGGTTTAGGAGGCTAGAGTGACAGGGTTATGTGTTTCCTGGAATGACACATTAACCTCGTGTGTCATGATGGGTGGTGGGTGGTTGCTTCACCTGGAGTTGAAGTAGTTGGGATATGAGTGTTGTCTGGTAGGTGGGTTCATACTGTGTGCCTTGAACTGGACAGGTGCCTGGATATTGCATCTGGTGCTCTGGATTTTCAGCCTGGTATATGGCTCACCTGGAATTTATAGGAGAGTGTTTTCTCTTTTAGATTTAGCAGATGAGGGTTCCTTATCTCCTCTAGCCTGTGCTCACCTGGGACCTTTAGGAGTGGTTTATGGTCGACCACTATGATCAGGTTGTTGCAACCAAGTATAAAGTGTTTCACTCTTTTGAAGGCATCAACCACGGCTAGGTCTTCTCTTTCAACTGGTGCATACCATGACATGACTGGGTGGGTGAATCTACTCCCTACAAATGTGATCCAACATCCCAATGGATAGCATGTTGGTGTATCGCTGGAGCATGGGCAATGCTTCTGTAGGAGCCAGAATCCTAGACCATCTTTACTCCAATCAATCATGAGACAGGTTTTGTGACTCTTGTCGAAAATGACAATTACCTCCTTGATTTTGTCAGTGATGGCCCTTTTTGATTTGTCAAATAGGTTCTGTAGTTGGTCATCCCAGTAAAACTGCATGAACGATTTAAGGATTTCACTGAATGGTTTCATTTTGTTGGTCATAGATGTGCAGTAGCTGACCTGATTCACAAGGCCAAACCAGGATCAGATGTCCATAATATTTCTTGGTGTGGGAAAGTCCATGATGGCTTTCAAAAATCTCTGACATGGTTTTACGCTGACCATTGTGATTTCAAAGCTGGCGAATTCCATGGAGTCTGCCCTGAATTGAAATTCATTGGGTTCGAGAGTAATTCCATTGCAACCACAGAGGTTCAGCCATCTACAGGCCTGGTTGAATCTGATATCCAGGCTGCCTGTCCACATGCATGTGTCATTGATGCATTTAGTTTTGTTGGGGAAGTTGGAGATGATTTAATTGACTTGCCTGGAGTGGCTATCCTGTGATACTATGTATCTCTGTGGCCCCAGAGTCTGAAGAAGGTGGTGTAATGGTGGTCACACTCTTTTATGGGGATGGAATGATAGCAATTCCATGCATTGAATACAGTCGTCTTTTTGTAAGTGAGGATGAGGGTGACCTGGTGAAATGGCAACTGAGTGTGATGTGTCTCTCTTGCACTGTGGGCATTTAGTGTCTATAAGTTCACTGTGTGATGTAGGCTACTGCATGTGCAGGATGATCTGGAGGGGAGCTGCCTGAAATGGGCATAGTCATCAGCGTCAACCCAGGTGGTGATATCTATAGTGGGTTGGAGTCAGAAATTTCTTTGTTTCCAACTGGAATGTCTGGTGAATATGTGATGCACTGCATTCACATCTGTTTGGTGTCAGGCCGCTTATTGATTCACGTAGCATGTTGTAGATTGTTTCCACCTTCTGTTTGGGATTTTGTGTATGGTTGTTTGGGTTTCTTGGAGGTTGCTTGTGGATCCAACAGACCTTGTCAAAGTGGTTTAGAGTGCCGTAGTTTCTGTATTTACTGCCGAATGCTTTACATTTCCTCTTCCTTGTTCCCAACAGTGTGTGTTGGTTCTCCACAGGGCAGGATTCATCATCTCTCTTACCACCAACCTGCTTATGGCTTTTGTTGGTAGTCCTGCCCCTTTTGTGTGGACTTGCAGCATGAGCATGGTCGGTGTCACTGAGAGATGCCTCAGATCTCTTTCTTGACTCCTTTGTAGACTCGTCCTTTTTTCCTTACCTTTCAACCCTAACAACAGAACAGTCTATATCTTACGCCACGCACGGAAAAAAACTTCAACCAATTAAAACTGCACTAAGCTTAAACAACCAATCTCATTGGTTCATCACTGAAAGTTCACATGCAGAACGAAATTGCGCCAAAACTCAAGTGAGCCACCTTTGGACTTTCACGCCTTATAAAAATAAACGCTGACCGCCCCAGGCAGTCAGTAACAAACACCCACGGAGAACTTGCCAAAATACTCCACATCACTCGAAATCACGATTTTTTCCGTGCAAAGATACATCATCGCTGACTCATTCCTGATCGAAAACTTAATCAACTCTGTGGATATTAATTCTCAACATTGATTATCTAAAGTGAATTATATTCGCTACCTATTAGGTAAACATCAACGTGCGAACGACCTTAAAAAAACATTACATTACAGTTAAAGGTAGATCACTCTTAAAAACTCCTAAAAAGAAACACTTAATATCGACAATTATTAATATCAACACAAACTTAAAAAGACTGTAAATGAACGAACAATTACAAAGAGAGACATTCTGAAATCAAAAAACCTCATACGCCAACATAACATATATCAATTATCCTGTTTGTATATTGTTTCGAATTGTATATAAATGTTATATTAATTTCTAATTGAATATGTCTCGTTCTTAATCATATTTTAAATTTCGTTTATTTATTTGTTGTGGATACAGAAAGTCACGCAACCTACACAAATTCCTTCTGATTCTTTCAAGCATAATTAATAAATTCTGCACGTCCCCAACACCTTCACCTCCATGAGCCTGAGGGTCACTTCTAGGGTGAGGTCCTGGTTTTCGTGGCTAAGAATATCCAGTCATATTTCAGGGTCCTCTAGGACATGTACGATTGCATCTCTGACCATCTGTTTAATGAAATTTATGGCCTGTTACTTTGTGGAACCGACTCCTAAGAGGTTGCTTTCCTGACCACTACAATATTAGCCTCTTTAGGTTTAGGGTTAATCATTATCTTTCCCACATATCCTCATAAACTGTACCTCTTACTTCTCATACAATAACCTCCTTCAGTAACCCTCTACATTGAATGGTTCTTGGGCCTTGTATCAGATAAAAATTAATTTAAAAAAAAAGATTTTTAAACAATTCAGTCAGGATTCCAGAAGTTTAACAAGTGCAATCTCTTAAGGACTCATTAGCATTTAGTTACTTGGCATTAGTTTAAATTATTTTTAACTGATTCACCTATTGTAAATTCATATATTTTCACAGCTTCATTATTCATCCTGTTTTAAAATTAATTGTAGTTATCTTTTAAATTCCTGTTTTTTTGTTCTCTCTTCTTAATATTTTTTCTTCTTTTTTATGTTCTTTCATACTCAGCAACGCACATCTTTGTAGTTTTATTGCCTTGCTTGGTGTAAAATAATTTAAAAAAAAAATGTAAATTCTCCATTATTGATTCTGAAGTTTTCAAATTTGCATCGAAACTCTTATTTCATCCTTTATATTTCCTTAATAAAATGGCTCTATGAGTTTACAAGCAATATTCCTGTTAAAATTAACGGGTTCTTAAAAAAATCATTTTATTATTAAAAAAGAAGGGAAATAGATTTTTTTCACAGTAGCCCCAATAATTTAACATTAGTTTTGTCAAGTCATACCATGTAAATTTGATTAAACGGATAACTTTGCGGAAGTGACGTCAGAATTAAGGGCGATAATCTTGGTTTTGTTTCCTGATTATACCTAAACTATGAAAATGGCTGCGTCACTAGTGACAGAAGTTCCCCAGTCGGGTTTTGTATTTGAGAACTGCCATCGGTAAATATTTTATTTGAAACTTAATTACCGTTTAAAAGAAAATAAGTACAATGCACAAACATTTTGTGCATTTTCATCAAAATTCTTTCTTTTTAAAACTGATATTTTTTCCTGATATATTCTTGATCGTTCTTTTTGTGTTGGATAATGCCGGCTTCATATACAGATACACAATACAATCACTATCAGTAACATAATCTTGCGTAAATAAAAGAAATAATTACTTTTTTTCTTTTGCATTTAAATCCTACTGAGAATTTTAATTTAAATCCTTATAAATTGTTTTCAATGCATGATTAGAATTTTCAAAGCAAGGTGAAAGGCAGTCAAATTATTTTCAAAATAAAATTTTATTAATAATAAAATAAAAGAAAACTCATTTAATTTAATCCAAAAAAAATGAAATATTCATATTTTTATCAGAATTTATAATATCTGTAGTTTACAAAGAAAATTTACTAAAAGGAAGTAATACTGTAGTCTTTTTTTATAAAGAATGTATTGTAACCTGACGATCTTCTTTTGCTTTTAGACTTGCCTTATGATTGCAATTAAAAATTAAATTAATTATTAATTCATTATTTTCTTGTTGGCATTGACAGAAAATAGCAATTACTCTTTATTTTTAATATTACTGGTACTTTGAAACAAAGGTTTTTAGTGAAACCATAACAGTTCTTACACGTAGAACAAAAAAGAACTAAAATTGTAAATAAATTTATATTTCTAAAAGAATAAAACAACGCTTTTTTTATTTTATAATAAAAATAACTACACAGCATATTTGCTCTAGCAAAATAATTTGACTTTTAGTTTGTTCACAGTGACTTAGTAGTAATAATTCTGTTACGAAAGAAAATTGTTTGGAATAGTGATTTACTTCCTTCATTTATTGATTGATTTTTAGAACACACATCTGTAGATGGTGTATTTTTGTTTGCGTGTGTCTACGATTTTGATGTAAATTGTAAAATTACATTTAATCACTTTGAAACATAAGCTAACATTTTTTGCTTTTGTTATTGAAAATTCTTCATTTATCAAAATAACATAAACGGAAACCTAACAAAATATTCTTCTTAACCAGTTCTAAAATCATGCACAATATTCTTTCTACTTTTTTTTTTTTTTTTTTTTTTTTTTTTTTTTTTGACAATGCTTCTTACCATAAATACAAATACTGGATAAAAAACACTAAGATACAATGTAAATAAAAAATGACAAAAATTACATTGGCATTCATTACAATTACATCATTTTTAAATTTTAGATAGAAAAAAATCATCATAACTTGAACACATGAAAATATTTCTAAATGAGTAATTTTCTCATTAAAAATCGAAGTTTAAATGAAATAGATTAAATTTTTTTCATAAAAAATATGCATTATCCTGAAAAATACCATATTGAATCTAAGCCATTCTGCCACAGCCATAACCACGCAGACCATCCTTTTGATCGATTCGTTTATTAGGAATATTTTCTATTACACAAATCCAAATTGATGGAAATATTTTATAGTTAGAAGAAAATGTATATGAATATTTTATAAAGCTATCCAAAATATGTCAGTTAAAAAAAATTATCTATTATATTAATAATTTATATTCTTAAATTTAACAAATAATAATTTATTGTCATCTGCAGAAAATATCTGGATAACTATTTAAATAAATGATTAGTTAAATATCACATCTAAGAAATGTTTATTTTCAATTTATATCTTCTAAAATTTGCATCCATATTATATGAAAAAAATTTAAAAAAGAAACTATTTTAAAACATTGATCCTTTTTTGTAAAATTATTCCATTCAACACTGTTATATCACTGTTGTATGCACTTAAAATTTGATAAGTGAAACTGTTTTAGTTCTATTTTTCAATTAAACTTAGTAAAGCTAGCCTTTCGTGAATATTGTTTCATTTTAAAAGTATTAAGAAAATAATGTTTATATGATTACAAGCAATGTTTCTTTAATATTTCAATATCATTTTAGTAAGAATTCAAAAGTAACATATCTTTATTTATATTCTTTCTTTTATCATTTAACATGTGGTCATATTTTCACATACTGTTCTTTTAGAAAAAATATGTATGTTATGAGAACATTTGAACCATTTGAAAATGTAATAGAACCCAGAATTTGAAAGCTTTTTTCATTATAAGTCATACTCATGGTTTTGAATACAAGTTGTCATGAAATAATTTTATTTACTCTGATAGGATTTTCTTCCCTTGATTTTCCTTTACAGAAATGCCAAACTTGCAAAACAAGGAGTAAAACTACCAAAACCTTTTAAAACTGGAACAACTATTGCTGGTATCATCTTCAAAGTGAGTCACCTTCATGCTTTACTTTTCTTTTTTTCTTTTTCCGTTTATCACCTCCAATAACTTTTTTTTGTCCTGCAATACAAATTTAGAATATTTTAAGTTAAAAGTATTAAAACACATAATTCCAAGTATTATTTAATCACATGAAATTGACTTTAATTTCAATATATAATTGATTTTTCATTTATACTTTAGTTAAGAAAATTTTATTAAATGCAATATTTTTATTTTGGTTTGAACTTTAACTAATACATTCATTTAATAAGTTTTTAGATTATTTTTTCAGCCATCCAACTCAACATGAGCCTTAATAATAATGAAACTTCTCTTTCTTTACTTGTTTGCTTGATATTCAGAATACTTGTGTTGATTACTCTTTTAGTAGCTATTGCTTCATATTATCCAGGAAAACATTATTCTTTGTTTATACTAGAATTTGATCTTCTGTCTAATATAAAGTCTAAATTTTGTTTTCTACCAGAAGCCCAAGCTTTTCATGCTTATGTTTATAGATAGCAGCTACATTGTAAAAAAACAAAAAAAAAACCATGGTCATTTGATGGAAAATGATGATCAATGTATTAACCTGAAAATCTATAGATATTTTTAACATTATAAAAATATATATTTTAACTTTTGAAAAATTGATATTTTCTTGAAATTAATTTTATTTAAATGCTAATCATTATAGTGTCAAGTGGTGCAAATCTATTACAGAGCAATATTGTTTATTGTATGTCAGATTTTACAAAAATTATGTAATAAAAACCGTAATCATGACACCTTTGCTTGAACTTTTGAATTCTTCATTGGTTTAATTCAGGATCAAATTCATATCTAATAAAAATGAAACTTTAAATTATTTTTGCAAAAAGAAAGCCATAAAATTTGGTAAACAATCATTACTTTTCTGCTTAATTTTTTTAACTCATTTATAGTAGAAATGTCATATGAAATGAAAATATATTTTCTATTATTTATGATGTTACTCATAGAATTATGTAGATTTATGTTAACATTAATGATTTTAACATTTTGTTGTGATTTATTCTAACATTAATTCCACTTGCTGAAACACTACAAGATATTTCAAAGTGGATACACAAATATTGATATGTTTGATGATTTTCTATTATTTAAAGATGTGAAGTCTGTTAGTTGAATATGTTTTAAAAAGAGAATAAGTGTATTGGGATTGATTTTTTTTTTTTTTTTTTTTTTTTTTTATTCTATAAAAATTCATGTACTACTGTTTGTTCTGTAAAATGAAAGAAAAAGCAGTTTCTAGTTGCACTATAAATTATTTTGTCTTTTTTAATGTGCTTATACATTTCTGCTTTAATAAGTGTCTGTTATTTAATATTATTACTGAGATCCTCTTAAAATACTGTTTCAGATGAATAAAAACATGACTATATCTAAATCCTTTGTTTTTCTAGGATGGTGTTGTACTTGGAGCTGATACAAGAGCTACTGATGATACTGTGGTGGCTGATAAAAATTGTGCAAAAATTCACTACATTGCAGACAACATCTAGTGAGTTAAATTCTTATTCTTCTCCCTTTACTTGAATTTACTATTTATTGTAGTTTAGTGTAAATAATATATGCTTATTTATTACTCATTAGTATTTTTACTAGTAAAAGTTCAGTTTTCACTGTAAGTGTTTTTGTTGTTTGCAGCTGTTGTGGTGCTGGAACAGCAGCAGATACAGAGATGATCACCCAGATGATAGCGTCTCAGCTAGAACTTCATAAACTGAACACAGGACGAGTGCCCAGAGTGATTACTGGCAACTGTCTGCTCAAGCAGATGTTATTCAAGTAAGATCTTTATAAATTCTTAAAAACAAGGATTATCTGCCCTTTGGATATGAGACATATGTTACTTTTGCTCTTCAGTAATCTTGTGGATTGAATAAAGATTTCAATAACGAAGGGGAACAATTGATTCCTGTTGAATTCTTAAAAATGGAACAAAATATTTAATCAAATGTTATAGTTTGGTAAACTTGGGCCTTTGTACCTGCAAAAGTCAGAAGGATGTTTTTTCCATTGACACTGCTGTTATTTTAACTACCTACCATCCTCAGCAGTGTTTGTTGCTTTAAAAAGCGATGATTAGAATTGTAATAAAACCTAAATGTATCAAAGTGAATTTATACATTTTGTTTTGTTCTTGAGAATTTACAACAAAAATATTAAATGCTATTTATTTATTAAATTATGTCCAAGAATAATTTTATATTTGCAACATTCAAGAAACTAATACAATTAAAATTAAAGCAATGTTTATTATTTAGCGATTTATAAAAAAGTAAATATGAAATGGATGGACACATGGCTGAGCGGTTAGAACAATCGTTTTTGACCATGAGATGCAGGTTCAATTCTCACCATGGTCAATTTTTCAGGGAAGAGACTCCCTGATGTGATGGGCAATCCCAGCATGCTGCACCTTTGGGAAGTGCCTGAAAACCATACCATTGGTTGACCCAAGCCTTGTGAGTGAAATTGGGTAGACTGTACCCTTGGGTGTCATCAATAGTTGTGCTAGCACAAAGTCACATGTCATCATCTGAGAGTTTGTGCTGGCCTTGATCAGATTGATCATGCTAGACGAGTGAAGGTACTTTCACTCATCTAGCATGATCATAGCAATGTCAATAGAAAAACTGTCCTTTTGACACTCCATTTGTTTTTGTTTTTTTTTTTTGTTTTTTTGCAAGCATGAAGGTCCAAGTTTGTCAATAGTTTAACTAAAGACAGTAGAGTTTAGGTGTTAAATTCACCTAACATTAAATTAATTTGGTTATAGATAATCAAAGTATTAAAGATATTTTTTTAATTTTATCTCCCATAGTTTGTTTAGATTTATTACTGTTGAAACAGTTTATTTCTAGGCTCATAACCTGTAGAATAATTGGTCATGGTTAAATGTAATTGGCAACAAAGCCCAACAAATAGAATTAACAAAGATTGCAATAAACAATAATGAGAAATAAAAATACAGGGCAAAAATAATATTAATCAAGCAAACAATATATAAGGCAAAGCAACTAATAAGGCAAAAAGTTCACAAACTAAGAAAGGTGTTAGCAGAAAGGGGATACAGACAAACAATCACAGCATTCTGACTTCACGACTAGAAAGAACAGATTTAAGTCTGCTGAGACTGAGGAGTGGCCTATCCTATTGGCTAGGAAGAAATCCCAGCATGCATCTATGTATTTTGTATATAAATTTGGGAAGCAGATGATGTTTTGCAATCATTCCTACTGCAGATTAGAGCCAACACAAATCTTGAGGTGAGATTTTAATTGTAGTAAAATAAAAAAAAAATAGTCAAAGCTTATGAAAATAACTAAAACGTTAGCTTTTTTAACTCTTGAAAATGCATTTATTTATATACAAATTTAACAACTCATGAATTATGTATATTTTGTGCCAGGGAGTTATCTACAATTAATAAATTTAAAAAATGGTTGTGCTTAATTACAATATTACAGTAAAAGTGTAGAAAATTTGATAATAAACTCTGTCTCTTAATTCACTTGTTGCATTACAGCCAGTATCCATTAAGTTAGTTAGACCAGATACAAGTCTGAGCCAAGCAGATAGTTTCTTTTCAGTATTCTCAATCTTGCATAGTAGTTCTGAGTTCATTAACAGAATGTAGTCCAGTGTCATTGTATAGATAATCAGTGAATGGGTGAGCCTGTCTTCCCAAGTTTCATATCCCAGCTGTAGGAATAGGAGTTGACATGCCGTTAAATCCAACATCCATCCATCCAGCTGTAGGTTGCCAAAGTATAAGTTTTGACACTTTCTCATTTGGATGACATATCCAATGTCCAGAAAGATTTAGTTGTTTTTCTCTGATCTTTGTTGTGATCCTGGAGAGTGAACCATACAGAACTGCGTTGGTGACATGATCCCTCCAAAATACACAAGTGCCATTCTCAGTATTTGTGTGTAGGTTCCGTCAAGAAAACATTCTTTTGTTTTGGTGATGGTCCATCTATTGCAACCATAGAACAGTACTGATGCTAGGAACAATTGCACCTTGATGGATCGGCTGAAGTTGGGTTTCCAAATGTGGTGAAGCTTATAACAGGCTTTTCTGACTTTGATCAGAGCTTTTCCCTCCTGATCATGTACTTTGTTGTAGTGAGGGAGTTTACATTCCCTGTTAATCCAGGGAGCTAGTTTTTGCAGATTCAACCAAGCTTAGGTCAACAAGGAAGGGCCAGACAAAAGTATGATAATTGTACAGGAGGATTCACACACCCTGCATGTGTTAGCAGCCAAAAAGGCCGTCACAAATAAGTATCCATTAAGTGAACAAGTAAATGTATTTTTATGACAATTATAAATTTCCATATTGAACTGATATCCTGACAGTTCAGAGTTAATGTTGAATGTATTCATTTCATTAAAATTTTTTTCAGTAATAATCTTATAAAATTTTAGTCCAAATTCTATCACATCAGATAACTACATAGATTTCATGAATTTATATTTCAGAATTTTCATTTAACATTTTAATGCCATTTATTTAAGTAAAAGCTTCAGTACCATTTTTTAAATACCTTGTACCAAATAAAATAATTTTTTATTCACATGTTCTTTAATATGCTGTAAATTGAGTTTTTTATTCATATTTGTTTATCAGATATCATGGAATGATCAATGCTGCATTGGTGCTGGGAGGAGTTGATCCAACTGGATCCCATCTTTATAGTATCTGGCCCCACGGATCTACAGATAAACTTCCATATGTTACCATGGGTAAGTCTTAGACATCTTCCGTATTCTGTTTCTTCTTCTAGAATAAATTAGGATAAATGCTCTTTCTTTGTTTCAATTTATTCTACTGATGGTTACTCAATTGATTTATTCAATACACTAATCTTGTGTGTGTTTGAAATTCACAAAGTGCTAATTGATAATTATCCAATCATCTTCAGATAATGTGATCTATTGTGCAAGATATTTCTTATTAATTGTTGGAGAACTTGATTAATTTATACAGGATTGAGGATTAATATTAAAATATAGTTTTACTCAAATGTCTGCCTAGTTTTAATATTTTTAAACTCTTCATTTTAGCAGGTAACCACTACACTGGCTTTCAAAAAAAATATTTTTAGAAAAACTGAGAATTTTTTGTTAACTCTTTCAAACCCAAACTCCAGTGTTATAAATCAACCTATTTGACTTGAGTAAAATGTTTTTAATTTTCATTCATTAATAGAAAGACATCAGCAGCATAAAAAATTTTACTATCTTCCAAGGTTTTTGTCTTTTAACCTTGATCAGTTAAATAAAAGATTTTTTGATAATTTTTTATACTTATGTTTATTGTTGAGCATTTTTCATTACTGTTATCTCTTCAGATAATAGCATTAAATAGGAAAATCCTCATTGAATAAAAGTATTTTTTTTTTTTATAAATGTTAAAAATTAAAGTAATAATAACAAACTATTAAATTTTCTAAAATATTTATTTGATTTATCAATATTTTTTATCAGGTTCAGGAAGTTTGGCTGCTATGGCTGTATTTGAAGACAGATATAAGCAAGATATGTCGGTGAGTTTCTTTGTTTCTAAATATTACTAAGTACCAAAGTTGGAAGGAAGAAATGTAAAAATGGTTACATATATCATTCTCCTCTTGCATTTACCTCAATAGAAGGATCAATCATATTACTCAAGTGTTATAGCTGACAAAAGTCAATGATATTGCTTTTGTGTTATTTATCATAGGGTGATTGCTTTAATCTGACAGTTGTTTGTCTTAGAAGTTGGCATCATATAAAATAAGTACAGTGAATTGATTCATTCATATAAAAACATATACACACGGCTTCCTACTAGAAAATGAAGAAAAACAGATTAAGCAAAATATATAGCTTTGTATATATCAGAAAACTGCAGGTAAGTTACTGTGGAGTTTGTGTGTAAAAATGTACTGGCGTTTCATTATTACAAGGCTAATCTTTTGTACTTTTTATAATGGTATATGCATTGCTTCATGTTTCTGTAAGAATAGTTTCACATTTTCATGTCCAAAGTATAGTGCAAACTGTTTCAAAAAGAGGAAATTTCAAAGCTGTTTAATGTAGTAGCAGTTTTAAGTGGATAATTCCTTCTTAGAAATAGCTAATAGGAAGTTATTTATCACCAGTCCAACTCTCTTGACAGAAATAAATAATCTTTTTTATGTTTTCATTTCATGTATTCACTCATTCAAGATAGTTTTGATGTAGATATTTTGCACAATTCTCTAACATAATTATAATTCCACTTGGTTACTATTTATAAATTTACCAACAATTTGACTTTTTTTTTAATAAAAATAATACATCTAAAATCATACCAGGCTACACATTAGTGTCCCCTATATAAGGGGAATGCAGGTTCAAACTGCAAAAAGGTACACTTTCTTTATTAAAGACTTTCAAAACCACAGCCAATTACACTGTTTAAAAAACAGTGTATCCACTAAATGTGTTTATAGTAATATGAAATAATGTCAGATTATAAATAAAAGTCCATTCTTTAGATATTTTCAAATCTAAACATTGCTCATTCTTTTTTTCCTTTTCTTATTTTGTATGGATTCAATTTGATCAGTCTAATGTACGTTTTTTCTTTCAGCGTGATGAAGCAATGTCCTTAGTCCGTGATGCTATTGAAGCTGGTATTTTCAATGATCTTGGTTCTGGCAGTAATGTTGATCTGTGTGTCATCACCAAAGACAAAGTGGATTATATCCGTCCCTTTAAAGAGTGCAACAAGAAAGGCAAGAGGTCAGCATCTCATTTACTTCCAAACTATGAAAATTATTTCACTGCTTTTATTGTTCACTTTTAAATAAACCATTTCATTTGCTGGTTGGTTTTTCCTGCTGTTAGCTATTAAAATGCACCAAATTTTTTTTTTAAGGTTTTTGATATTTTTTTATATTCAAACTGCACAAACATCCATAGTATGATAAAAATAAAACATAAACTAGTTTTTATATTTTATTTATTATTCAGTTTACTATTAGCTATTTATATTTTATGATTCCTTTCAATACTTATTTTCTTTGTAACTTTTTACCATGTGCAAACCCACCACTACAAAACTCTTGTAAAAAGTTTAAAAAAAAAAAAAAAAAAAAAAGACTGTTTTTTTTTTTTTGTCTGTTGTCTCTCCATTTGACTTTCTTTTCAACATTGTAATAGAACAAAAATAGAAAGAAAGCATATATTGATTACTGCTATAAAGTCTTCCTTTTGAGCTAAGTTTTGTAAATAACTTGTTGAAAGCAGCGTAGCAATAACTTTTAAAATATTTTCTTTTTATAAAATACTTTCCATAAATAACAATAATATATGATGCTTTTCTATATATAATAATCTTTGTAGATGTTTTTCCTTGTTGAAAACTATTCATAAAGAAATCAATTTTACCAGTATTAAAATCGAAATACTTTTTATTTATTTACCTGGAGATTATATCAGTTGCTTTTAATGTTAGATAATTTCTCCTCATCTTTTCTTGACTTAAAATTTATTCTGAAAAAGTTTTTATTTTAGAAAATGTTTGCTTTAAAAATTTATCAAATGTCTTTACTATTATGATTATCATTATTAGTAGTTATGTATTTGTCAGATGCTTGTCATTCTCCCAATTAAAAAGTATTATTTCCATTTTCAGGGAAGGGTCTTACAAGTATACTCGTGGTACTACTGCAGTACTAACTTCTGAAATCGTCAAGATTCCATTCACTGTCATTAGAGAGGATGTCACGGAGGAATCAATGGATACTTCTTGAACACCTTCACCATCAACATTTAACAAGTGAAATAATTTAGCATATAACAAGCTTTCTTTCAAATTTATAAATAAAATGTTAATTCCAACAATTGGATTTTCTTTTCTTATTGTTGTTAAGAATATTTTGCCAGTTTTAAGTGACAAGAGTCGTGATGTGCAATCAGCAAATTTCCCTCCCAAAACACATTAGTGACACTAATAAAAAGGTTAACCCTATAAATAATTAAGAAACTTTGTTTCTTATTTGTCAAATCCATAATGCCAAGTGCAGATAAACACCAACAAATTCGCTCTATAAATTTTTCACATTATGAAGTGATGAAATGTTTTCAATTCATTTCTCAAAATCGGTATTCTGATGTTTGGTCATTGAAATATTGATTTTGGGAAGTGAGGCTTGGAAACTTTTCATGGTCTCTTTACTTGCTTTAGTCTAATTCCAATGTTATTAACAAATTTTATCATTTCATTAGTTGTCCCTTCCAGTGAATATCTTGTTAAAATGTACCCAAATTTATATTTCTGATTCTTTTTTTTGTCATTCATTCTAGAATGAAGTGGATGATAATACTGTACAGATTCTTTACTTTTCAATCTCATCTTCAGTTTGATTTGTTTACTTAACTTTTTTTTTCATCTCTCTATACCATATTTAGTTGTTAGTACATTTTATCATGTGGATTAAAACAAAACTTAATTGTATTTCTTGTTTGATTCCTTTGTTCAGCGAGTTAGAAACAAAATCAACTTTTCCCTTTCTCAAAAGCTTTACATGATTATGGATAAAAATTTCTTACTTGAGGTGGAGGACATAATCTTCTGAAATTAGTCCAGCTATTTTTAAAATATTTGCAAATTATAGGTAAAGGTAGCAGCATTTGGATTTGCCTTGAATAGCGAATTTGTTACCTTCCAAGTAATTTAAATAAATTTCTTTTATTTGTTTTTGTAAAAGTAAAGAAAGAATTCAAAATGGTTTGACCAGTATGGATGCAATCCATTTAAAATAAATCCAGAAAATACTCACTCATTGTATCTGTCTCAATTTATTATTCTTGAGCTCTTACAAAAATACACAGGAACAGGTCCAATTTTGCCAAGGTCAATGACATCAGCTGTAAATCTTTTTTCAGATTAGAAGTTTATTTTTCAATATTATGAATGCAATTATGATAAATATTATATAATTGATGATTTTGAATCTTCATTATGCATGAATCCACCACCCCCATCAGCAATATTAAATGCCTACTTCAACTAATATATAACAGCTTCACTTTGCTAGGCAGTAGCATTAAGAAATTGCTAATCTTGATAGAATGCAATCAAGTAAATTTAGATGCTGATGGATCTCATACACTATGCTTCAGATACTTAAACAAATAATACTTCTTGTCATAAAATAAATTATGAGAAAACCTTTGACATTTCCATGAACTCCACTCTGTCTAGAAATAAAATATACTTTGTTTTAACTTATCTGATAAATTGTAATTTAGTGACAGTGTCTCAAGGAAAAATTGGAGAGAAAGTTGTATGTATAGACTATGATAGACAAATGAAATGAGTTTTGTTGGGATTGTATAAACATCGGTACATCAATGTGTGTACAGATTATATAATCTTATTGATGTACTTAATTTAGTATTGATATCGAACATTATGGTGAAACTTTTGATAAAAGTCCAGGCTTATTGATCAATGCTTGTTTGTGTACACCTACAAGGTATGTTGGATAAATTGTCGTCTAAATTATGCAAAAAAAATAAATAACACTGACATCTCATTTTAACAGATATATTTTCCAAAATTATACAAAAATATCTTGAAATACTAAAGAGTTAATTTATTCAGTAAAATTGACATTGGCTTCAACCACAACCTCCAGACAATTTCGGAATCTGCAACTCTTCTGGACAGTCTCCTTGTTTAAGTTGGTGAATGCTGTCATAATCCTTGCCTTCAGTTCATCTTTGGTGTTACATGGAGTTTTGTTGGTCTCTTGCTCAACTGCACCCCACATATAATAATCAAGGGGGTTGCAGTCTGGGAAGTTGAGTGGCCAGATGTGGTAGCAGAAATTATCTGACAGCCATGACTTGATTCTCCTGCTTGTGTAGCATGGTGCAGAGTCCTGTTGCCAGGCATAGGGTCTTCTAGCAGCCACCCTCTTTCTTGACCAGGTCAGAACTACCTCCTCAAGGCACTTGATGTAGGTCTCTGTGTTGAGTCTGAGGCCCTGTGGGAAGATGAATGGAGGCATAACGTCACCATCACTAGTGATCACTCCAATCACCTTTGTAATCACCATTAGACTCATCTACCTCTTTCCTAATCCTCTGCACTGTACTCTGATGCCCAAACACTCTGAAATGTTCATATTGGAGCTTCCATCATGAATGCCAAGCAGTACAGAATGCCATTTCCAAATTTTTGGTGGAGTGAATTGTGTTTTTCTCAAAGATGGTACCCAACTGATTTTACTGTGCAGTCAACAAAATCAAAAACAAACAACATGCATGCACGAAATTAAAAATATAAAATGGCAACAATTTACCCATTGCACTCTGTGTGTGTAATATATATTTTCATTCATTTTAGTCTGGCATAAGGTCACAGGTGTGATACCCAATTCATGATTTGTGAGGCCAATGTGTAACTATTATGGTGCAACTGTCTATCTCTCTTCTATATTCTAAACAATAAAAAAGTCACCTCCCCACCACCACCACCACCAGCAGGATTTGAACCTGCACCCCACTTTGCAGGAGAATCCACTGTCTGATCCAATGTGCTTTGGCCTTTTAAGGCAAATAAAACCTTGCTTAATTTGTGAAACTCTCAGTAGCTGAGCAGTCAAAGCATGCTGGATCAGACAGATGTTTATCCTGTAAAGAGAGACACAGACGCAAAACCTACTGGAGGGCACATTTTCTTTAAGTTTTTTTGAGTGCACAGGCCAGTAGACAAATACTTTAAAACAAAGCATCTATTCAAATACAGGCATCTACTAAAAATAACATTTGAAGCTATATATATATGTATATATATATATATATATATATATTACAAATAAATGAAATTCAAAAATACCCCATCTGAATGGCCATTTTGCTCTGACAGAGCTCTGTCAACACTCAATGAGTGCTAAGGAATAAATATATAAGTCTTCTTAGTAAAAGTTTTGGTGCTATTTTATATCAAGTAATATATATATAGAGAGTGAGTGCTAGTAGTAGTGCTTGATATAAAATAACACCAAAACTTTTACTAAGAAGAATTATATTTGTACCTCAGCACTCAATGCTACGTAAAGTTTCATGCATCTGCATGAAACTTTAAATAGCATTGAGTACTGAGTAACAAATATATAATTAATAAATTCAATTAAAATTATTTTGTTTTCTAATGTTCTATTTATACAAAAGTGAGGACAGAAAACCTGTTACTCTTATTGGTAACCTTGACAGACAGCTTGCCTTTAAAGCATATGTATGTATGTGTGTGAGTTAGTTTGCTAAAACTTAAGCATTATTGTTTTCTGATTTAATTGGGGGCGAATGAAAAAATGAATAAAAACGTGAGTATGGCTTGGTCTTTTCTTCCTGTATTTCCTCACCTAATTCTTTATTAGTTTCTATTAGTTTAACTTTGAGATATCATTCCAAATTAATTGTAATGTAAATGAGAGTACGCACTGAATGAGGAGCAAACTCACTACAAACGATCAATGGCTTGCGAGACTATGTCAGAGTTAAAAAAATGGACAAATTTATGTTGATATCAAAAACGTGCTTTCTCGTTTATCCCTGTTGTTTATTTATTAAGCTTAGCTTAATTTGGCTTGGCCCAAGGCTACAAGTATAGTGCACCCATTGAGGATCGAACTCCCTACTTAGTTATAATGGTCAACCACTCAGCTAGACAAGCTTGCCAACCGCTGCCTCACGCCGAAGCACTCTTTGCTTCCTCGTTGTTTCATAGGAAAGCTTTCGTGTCAAGACTGACCACTTAGGCATATTAGAGACACCAGTTCCTGAAAAGCAGATAAAGCAGAAGAAATACACAAAACAAAAACAATAATAACATTATTGTATAATAATTGTGATTAGGTTATTATTTCAGCTTTTGCGCATGCGCGAAATTTTGTAACGTCAACAGACGCGGATGTGGTAAAATAACCACAGATAAGAAAAAGCTGTGTGTGCGTGTGTTTTCACTGAAATTTAATACAACTTTCACATTTAAATGCCTTTTAATTTTGGCTCAATCAATATGCAAAAATTATTTTTTCAAACACAAAATTAAATTTTAAGTCATGCAAAAAAAAAAAAATTCATAATAAAATGAAATTAAAAAAAAACGAAATCACTTCAGAATTAAACAATCTTCATTACATCTTCTGAATATATTTTCTCCCATGAATAAAAAAAATATTCTCGCTGCAGAAAAACATTTTGTTTTATAAAAACATTACAAGATCCAAAAATTTTTAGAATTTTTTATGAGCACATGCGACCATTTTTAAATCTAAGGGAGATTACTCTCAAAAGAAACTAATGTCTAATGGAGAATAATTCATTAAAATTTGAGAATAAGTGATGAGAGAGAGAGAGAGGGAGGAAATAACTTCATAGTATTGGCAGTATTATCTGCTAATAATCTTAGTAAGGGAGATTTTAAGAGGAAATTTTAATTAAAGAATATTATAGTATAGTACCCCAACCGACGTACACACCACCCAAAAAACGCATGTTTGATAATAATGAAATGAAATGGCTTTGGAATGGTTTTATTTGAAAGATATAACTTAAAAAAAAATAATCTGTAAAAAAAAAAAAATAAAAAATAAAAATACATATGTAAAAAATAATTTGCTCAGAAATTTTTAAGACTTGGCACAATCACTCATTGAACTTGCATTTACTTACAGGAAAAATGAAACATTTTAAATTCTCTTTAAAACTCAATATTTGTCCTAGGTTTTATGTCAAAGTA